GTCTCATTAAGAGCTCAGGAAGAAGACGAGGCACAGGAAGTCAGAGTCCTGCTCTGCCCCGCTGCATGCCTTTTACTACTTTGTTATGGTCTGCTCTGTCTCAGCATGTGTGTGTGTGTGTGTGTGTGTGTGTGTGTGTGTGTGAGAGAGAGAGAGAGAGAGAGAGAGTGAATGAGCTACAAAAAATATTTGGCTGTAGAGGGTGTGTGAGTTCGGAAAACTACAGATTAAGAGTGTGTTTTTGTGAAGAATTTGCATAGTAGAGTACCCTGAACACATTCACTAGTAGGTCCAAAGCAGTAGTTTCCTGGTAGTGGAAGTGAATGTGACTATTACTGAGGTATTAATGTCTCCAGATTGCAGGCCTGTTCCTGCCCCGCATCCGCCGGCACTCCTCCGTCCACAACCGTGAAATTGGGACCATGTGTTGCTGCTGTTGCACTCCTCTTCCTCCTCTTCCTCCTCTTCCACCTCCGTCTCCTTTTCCTCCTCCTCCACTCCCTCTCCTCAGTCCCCTTCAATTGGCCAAAAGCAAGGTTTCTCAGCCTTCCTCCTTCTCTTTCCGTCTCTATCCCACGTACAATAGTAATAATAGTGTTTTCTTATCCGCTACGAGGGTCTAAGTACAGAGGGTGTTGTATGCTGCTTGTAACGCCCCCTGAGGCAAATGTGTGACTCTTTAGTTTCTTTCTTCCTCCTCCTCCATGACGCTTCAAGGCTTCAGGATACTTTTTGTTGGCACAAAGTGTCGTTGGGCTAAGGCAAAAATGTTCATTCTGAAGGACCACAATAGAAGGCACGGCGAAAAACTTATATCTTGCGCAGTCTTGACATTCATACAAGGGACGTAATGATACACAGAATCAGAATCAGTCATGGTTCATGGTGAGTTTGGTACAGCAGAAAGAAAAACAACCCAAAACAACTCGGATCTGTTTCTATTCACTTATTTTGAACAGAGAGTAGTGTGAGTGTCAAAGACAGAAACAATCCTGCTGCTGTGGACTGAAGGAGCATTTTGCTCGCTGGCAACTTTGGTAAACCTTTTTCCTGTTAAACATAATGCCAAACCTTGTGTATTACCCAGTGCAACACCGACAGGTAACAGGCAACAGGTCACAACAGGCTAGACAACTGAAAAACATCTCTTATGATGCCGCTGTGTTTCCATTCACGTTTCCCGACAACTGTGGATCAACACCGACATGCCGTCCTCGTCTCATACACAACTCTCTCTCCGTTGCTGTTGTAGCTGACTGGGAACTTACAGTCATAGTGTGACTCACTTGTTGTGCTAACCTCAACGCATATTGCTGACAGTGTACGGCTAAATGTTTTCTGGGGGAACTCCTGCTTCGTTCCACATTACGTGCATCAATTACACAAACTGTTGCCACATTGTTGTGTGAAGACTGAAACAAGTTCAAATCCTTCATACATTCAAAACTCTGGGAAACTGTTGCATGAGGGATTTCAGACAGTGTTAGACGATCTTAAAACTTCGTACCGCCTTCGAAAAATACCTGATGATGGCATTAGATGAAATGTGTCTCTAAGTGGTTGAAGTTCATCCTGAGTGGAACATGAAGGTGTGCAGTAAACGTTGTGCCTCTCCATCAAGCAGTAGTTGAGGTATATATCAGGGAAAGTTAAATTGATGAATTTTGACTTGCTGGTGGCTCTAGATAAAAAGCCAGGGGGTCATCAAACTCATTAATAGTCTTCCTCTGGAAACCATGAATGTTTGTACAGAATTACATAGCAACACATTGAGTTGTTGTTGAGGTATTTCAGTCCGGGCCTCAGTAGTGGACCGACCGCGCCACACACCACAACATGTCATTTGTCATTTCGGACATCAGGTCGAGACAAAGGAAAAGCCCGCTGAGGTTCAGGTGAAGCAGTCGAGAAATTCAATGGAGGAAGAAAGGAGGGTGGAAGGAAGGAATGAGAAGTGACAGTGTGTGTGTGTGTGTGTGTGTGTGTGTGTGTGTGTGTGTGTGTGTGTTTAGGGGTTGCTGAGGTGGGGAGGTCAACTCTCACCAGGATGTAGGGGTCAAGTTTATTTTTCCTGCCAGGACAGATGCCGACAGAGCAGGAGGAGAGAGATGGAGGGATGAATGGAGGGGAAGAAGCAGAAAGTGGAGCAAATGAGCAGCAGGCAAAACGAGGAAACAATTCTTAAAAGTTGTTAATTTTCCACCACTTTTTAATCATTGTATTGTTTTTTT